TATATAGAGAGAGAGAGAGAGAGAGAGAGAGAGAGAGAGGAGGGAGAGGGAGAGGAATGATTTTTCTGCCAAAAGTCGGATATTGAGCTGTGGTTCCGGAATCGACGTGGACCATGTTCTATTTCAACAGTGTATCGTTGCTCGTGTTCCACCAAAACAATGCGTGTCAGACGCAACATTTTTTTGCGAGCGATCCGAAAAACGTTTTCCTTTGTCCAGTGCGCGCGAGCCGGATTGATCGGGAGTAAAAAAAAGAAGAAAAAAAAAAAGCAACAAAAAAAAAGGTGGCTTTGATTCGCTTTCCTCTCCCTCCTCCCCTAAACCTGGATACCGATATCATTCAAATGTGACGAATATTGGCAGTCGATAGGCGTTTGGTTGATTATCTTTATGCGCGGTTTGTTTTACAAACACGGACACCCGAGAAACCGATTGAAAATTTCAATGTTATCGAATCGGTTGGAATTTTGATAAATCGTTTTCGAATCCATTTTACGCGGATCAAAAGAAGAAAGGGAGGGAGAAGGGGGATTCGTACCGGTCACCGGAAAAAAATCGATAAAATTTTTCTTTTCAACACTCTGTTTCGAATCATTTTCATCGAAACTTTTTCATTTCCCGTGTAAAGAAAAAAAGTAAAATAAAATACCGGCCGTGTTTGTTTTATGTTCTTTCTTTCTTTTTTTTTTTTCTTTTTTGTTCCTCTTCCCCTGTTTCAATTAAGAAGAACCTTTATTGATAATTGTTTGTTATTAAACGCTTTCTATTTCGAACGAAACGAAATGCATGGAAATAGCTTTGAAATAGAGCGCTGTTTTCAATCCATTGCCCGCTTCATTTTGGCTACACGTTGTTTCATTTTTCCTTTGTTACCCGTTGCATCGTCATCGAATATATCTCTATTTGAAATTAAAACAACCGCTTGTTTGATAATGGATCGCACTTCCCACTTTTAACGACACGCCATTCCGATTATCTGTATTCCATAGAGATGATTGTTCGATAAATTATGCTTCTCCACTTTCTGAAGAATTTACGACAAAAGGTCGATAATAATTTCTTATCTCTAAGTAGAATTTTTATAGACTCTGCATAAACGCCATAAACAAGCGAGATAAATTAGATACACGTTCATCATTTTTCACATGGGTGCTTATTTCAAAAAAAAATCGAGAAGCGAGGTGTTATAATGTTCCACACTCGAGAGTCTTCTGCTAACTTTTACTCGATCTTTTTTCGATCGAAGTGTCGATACTTCCAAAAGTAAACACTGATATAATACGGGGAAAAAAAAAATAAACGAAACGTCACGAAAATATGCAAAGAAAAATAAAAAGAAATTAAACTTTATAAATAAAAAATCAATATGATTCAATCGTTTCATCATTTTGAACAGCGAAGAAATTAATTTTAATAACGAAACTCTTCCTCCTTCCTTTATTAAACATGGTTTTATAAATTTTCTTTCCAATATCATATCAGGTTTTATATTTTCAATTCTCTGTTAAATTAAACCCCCCTCCTCGTTCCTTTCAATCCGTGTATTATAAATTATCAAACGCGAATATTTCCCGGGCCGGCTGTACGTACGTTTTTTAAACAAAAGAAAGATATCACGTGTTGGGAAAAGTCTGGATGCACGCCTGGTGCAAATAGTAAACAACCTCGATATGGAAAATTTCTTTCCCGAAAGAGAAAGAAAAACGTTCGATACGTGTGCGATAACACGAAATGCCGAAGTGACTGGCTATCTTATCAACCTTATATATTTATCTTAATAAAATAACGCGTTTTTTTTCAATTAGCAATAATAATCTGAATCGAAAGATATTCGACCAACGCGTAAACAGATTAATCGGGCTACCGGTTTCATAAATACCCGATACGGAGCAGGCCCCCTCAGTCAATAGCTCGACATGTTTCGAGCAACGATCGTCCTCCTGTTCGCCGCGCTAGCCGGCTGCGTGAACGTGAATTGGTACAAAAATGCCCTCGTGTACCAAATCTATCCGAGGAGTTTCCAAGACAGCAATGGGGACGGTATAGGCGATTTGAACGGGATCACGGCCAGGATGGATCACATCGCGGACATAGGCGCCCAGGCGCTCTGGTTGTCGCCCATCTACAAGAGTCCCCAGGTCGACTTCGGCTACGACATCTCCAACTTCACGGACATCAACCCGGATTACGGCACTCTGGCCGATTTCGACAGGCTCGTGAGAAAGGCGAAGTCGCTCGGGCTGAAGGTGATCCTCGACTTCGTGCCCAACCACAGCTCCCACGAGCACCCGTGGTTCAAGAAGAGCGTTCAAAGGATCAAACCGTACGACGAGTACTACGTGTGGCGCGACGCGAAGATCGTGAACGGGACCAGGCAACCGCCCAACAACTGGCTGAGCGTCTTCTGGAACTCGGCTTGGGAATGGAACGACGAACGAAAGCAGTACTATCTTCACCAGTTCGCGGTAGGCCAGCCTGATCTGAATTACAGAAGCGCCGCGTTGGATCAAGAGATGAGGAACGTGTTGACGTTCTGGTTGGATCGAGGGGTGGACGGTTTCCGGATCGACGCCATCAATCACATGTTCGAGGACGCGAGAATGCTGGACGAGCCGAGCGCGAACAAGACCGACGTCTCCAAGAACGATTACGAGAGCCTGGTCCACATTTACACGAGGGATCAGGACGAGACGTACAAGACGTTGAGCAGTTGGAGAAAACTTATGGACGAGCACTCGAATCGCACCAACTCCGACCCGAGAATGATCCTCACGGAGGCGTACACCGACTTCAATTTGACGATCAAGTACTACAAATCCGGATCCACGGTCCCCTTCAACTTTATGTTCATCACGGATCTGAACAACCAGTCGACCGCCTCGAACTTCAAACAGCTGATCGACAAATGGGTGGAGAACGTGCCGAGCGAGAGCGTGACAAATTGGGTCTCGGGCAATCACGACAATCACCGCGTCGCCTCGAGATTCGGCAGGCAACGGGCCGACGAGATCCTAATGCTGACGTTGACTTTGCCCGGCATAGGGGTTGTTTACAACGGGGACGAAATCGGGATGGAGGACAGGCCGTTCACGTACGAGGAGACCGTCGACCCGGCCGGTTGCAACGCGGGCCCGGCCAAATATTATTTGAAATCAAGGGATCCCGAGAGAACGCCCTACCAATGGGACAACACCACGAGCGCTGGATTCTCCAATAGTCAGAAAACCTGGCTACCCGTTAACAATAATTACAAGTCTTTGAATCTTGCCGCCCAGAAGAGGGAATATTATTCCCATTACGTGGCGTTCAAGTCAATGTCGTATCTGAAGCAGCAACCCGTGATCGCGAACGGGACCTTGAACGTGGATGTGATCGATGGAAGGGTTCTGAGCGTGAAACGGCAATTGGGCAACGACACCGTCATAGTTATGATAAACTTCTCCGAACATCCTGTCTCTCTGAACATCACCGAGGTGCATCCACCTGCCAACCTGGTCGTTTACGCCAACAACGTCATCGGCTCGAGTGTTAGCCACGGCAACTGGATCTATCCGACCATGATGACTTTGTCCGGATCTAATTCCGTTATATTAACCAATTACGAATTGTATTGGAGATATTGGCAAGGATTGTAAATTGACGGAACATGATTGTTCTTTTTCTTCTTCTCTTTTCATTATCGACCGAATATATTTAATAAATTTAATATCAATCGATTCGTCCAGCTTTTTCTTCCGTTTCTTTCTTTTTCCTGTATTTTTAACGTATGTACGATTCTTCGTAAAACGAAGCTTTTGTAACGATCCTACGAATAGAACAATAACTCGCGTATTCATATCGAGCAAAAATTAATTTGGTATTTATGATTTCATAATTATCCATGAAAATTTCTTAACGAAGCCGCGATTTGTTTGAAGCGGCAATAATTATTTATCTATTAAAATTCCCGTAGTTCGTACAGGTTTGTTTGGAACTATTCCTCTTATTGTTGGAGAATTCGATTATTTTATTCACGGACGAAACGTTAAATTAATTCAATTTTAAATTAATTCGTCCCTTGTTAGACATTCGGGTAAATAAACGAACCAATGATTATCTCATTCGTTCCGCCTGATCATTAAATCTCCATTTTCATCGCGTTTTAAATGGTGGTATTCCGGGAAAAAGTCATTATAGAATAAATTTTATCGGATCCCGTTACACCGATCGGTTAAAATAATTAATTAGAAATGAGATGGCGATTCAATTCCGCATCATAAATTATAGACGAATAAAATCGGGCATAGAGATAATTTCTGTTACCTTTTATTTCCCGACTTTCCCCTATTCATGGGTATAAAGAAAAATGGTCGGTGGGCTGCCAGTCAACGGTCTGTTAATTAACCGGCCATTTGCGTATTTAATATGGTCGAATTATTTAGCGCACCGAAATCCTTTCGCCAATTCTCGAATATATTCATGGAATAATTACATTATGCCGTTCTTAAATTCGAGAATATTCGAGAGAAAAAAGGGATTTTATCTTCCTCCTCTCCGATAATGCGTCGAAGAATCACGCGTCAACCAACTAACGCGTAACTAATATTATAGTTAGAAGATATTTAGAAGCAGTTCAGAGAATTTGGAAAGCAGATATCCAGACGAGATTCAGTGATATTTTTTTATTAAAGAATTTCATTTTCATTTATGCTCAGATAAATCGGATCCATAATTCTTCATTTTCAATACTAATCATCGCGTTATAAATCTTTTTCCAATCAAAAGGCAATTAAAAGGACTTATCAATACATCCAATCCTCTGAGTCTTTTCTTTTCAGAAATTTCTCCAATTTATTAACCCCCTTTCGCATTACAAGTGTCGAACGGAAGAATGGAACCGAGTTATTAAAAACACATTTTGCACAGATTCAAACTCGGAATAAAATTTCTTTTCTCAAAACATCAAATATTACTTCATTCTCCTCGATCCATTATTCTATTGAACGATCCTTCCATCACGCGACGTACAAAAGCCACAATATTCGTCGTGGCCTTAACATCGTTAAGGAGGAAGGATTAAAAATTAGATCCATTAACTCCGAGATGATTCAAAGTTCTCGATTATTCCCAGAAATTCTTCAACTTCCGGCAACTTCCTTCATCCTTTATCCCTCGCCCCTTTGAGCATCCTCCGTCATATTTCGATCCTTCATCCGTGAAGCGCACACTTTCGGATCGTTAATGGGGGATTTAGTGGAGGATGGTCGAATAAGCGGTTAGCGCCGCGCCAACGATCCGAAATCCCTTCGAAATTTCTCGCGACGGAGTCGGAGGGAGAAAGTGGAGAGTATTGTTTGGCCGTTCTCTGCAAGGGTTGTATATACATATATACACGCGTACGAGTGGAAATTCTCGAGTTTTCATGCAGACAGCCTCCAGTGTGTCGCGGCGCTGCACCAATCACGTTGAGTGCACATTCTTCAACCTATCCTCCTGTCTCTTGTCCCCGTTATTTCTCTTCCTCTTTCAGACGTCGCCGAGACACTTGGGAAAGATGTGCTCCCCGCGCACACCGTCGACTTCATTTGTGTACACACGGTTACGTATTCGCAACGCGCCCTCGTATCCCCGTCGAGGATCGACACACAGACATCTCTCTTTCTTTCTCTTTCTCTCTCTTTTTGTTCTCTCGCGCGCGTAGCTTTCGCAACGATAGGATCAATCGCAGCAATCGGTGCTTCGTTTCTCTCAGGAACGGTTGCCGCGATAAACGATCGCGCGCGCCGTTGTCTTCTTCCATCGATTCCAGAACGCTATTCCATATTTTTCTCTTCGACGGGGAATGCGATCGAACCGATAAACGATGTAATAATCAGAGTTCTCCCGCGCGTGCATTCTTTGTTTGAGAGGTGTTGAGAATACGTTTTATATTTTTTTGAAATGAGAATAATTTTTATCGAGTTTGTTTATCCGAATTTTTTAACTTTTTGAGCGTTAAAATCTGTTCGCGAAGAAGGGATTTTTCGGTGTATTAAATTTTTGTATTGTTAAATTTTCTTCTTCGTCGTGTCAAGTTGTTTCGGTGATTAAAGTTACGTGAAAAGATATTGATTCAATAAGGAAGAAATATTTTATTCGAAGTCATATAATTATTGTCTGAAAAATTTTAAAGTAGTTAGTCAAGTGTATAACAAGTTGTTACAAACAACGACGAACAGTTAAGATTTCGTTCGCGTAACGAACGAAATATTGCGTTAATAATGGCCAATTTAATTGTTTTACCCCACTCGTTCTGCCATAATTAAACCTTTGACGAAGTCGGCGAACGAAGAGAAAGACAGAATTTTACCGGAGGCGAAAAGGGAACTGCGTTAAAACACTTCCAGTGAAAATTTCATATCGGATGGGCTCGCTGCATCGTCCCGCTCATGGCAATCCCTACCAAATATTTTGACGTTGAACATCATGTCTGAAAGTCACGTCTTATTTGCCTCTACAGCCTCTTAATTAATTCGCGGCCTCCTTCCCCCCTTCTTACGACGGTTTCCGGTAGCCGTACTCCTTCTCTCCTCCAGCAGTTGCTCTTGACGCCTGTCTCCTTCCTCCTCTCCATCGTTCCATCGACCTCAATGAATTTTCCCTCAAGAATTCGAGACGAATTCGCCTTTCAAACGAATTTCGCGACGCGATACTCGCCCTTTCTTCTCTCACTTTTCACCCCCTATTACTCGCTTCCTTCCTCTCGTTCGAGGCGAAAAATTCTCGAGAAGCGTACTGTAATTCGATTAATTAGCTGAGGGGATCGTAAATCTTGCTTACGATTACGTTATATCGAACGTTGCTTCGTTATAATAGCATCAGGTCGCTTTTATCGCGAAATCGATTATCGTAATAAAGAATAATCTAACTCACCCCCTTCCTTTTTAGCGGCGCGAGTCGTATTCTTCCGGATCTATCACCGCGAGCAGGCCGCCTCGTTTACCGAAATGCGCTGTGACCGTGTATCTGCAACACACACACCGATCGATTATAATACCTTTCGTATCACGCTCCATCATCATCATCATCGTCGTCGCGTCGCACGGTTTCTAATTCGAATCCCGGGATCGAGGGGCGGCGGGGGGATGATCGAGGATAGCAGCACGTGCCCCGACGCGTTTCCAAGGACTCAGTTGCCGCCTTCGCCTCGCAACGATCCCGATAGCGATAAGCTATCGTTCTATCGGCAAATAGTAACCGCTGATCCCTCCCCCTCGATTGTTCTCCTCCCCTGTTTGCAGGCGTGCGAAACGCTACCCCCTCTCCGCTCCCCCTCGATCGGTGGCCAGGTCGTGCTATATCGACCGGCCGGATTTTATACCTGCCTCCCCCTCCCCCCGATCCAATTACCCTGAATAATTTATCGGCGAATCACAAACGTTAATGACATCGGGCCGAATTAAGCGGAGCTTTTCGAAAAGTGCGGTGATCGCCGCGGGAGAATACGCCCGCTGCCGCCAATTAGTATTCATGCCGCGGATAAAGTTTCCATTTTTTTTTTTCCACCCGTTGCCGGCTCGATTATCAGCGGCGCACGCGGCGCGCTATTTTCGAGCGACGCGATTCTCGCGTTTTTGATTGCTCTTCGATCCCTCCCTTCGCTATCTCTCTATCTTTCTCTTTCCGTTTCCCTTTCTCTGTCCGCACATCGACGGGCCGCGTTTTCGCGATCGTTCGTTTCTTTT